CCCCCTGCTCAACGTGGGCAGTGGGGGCGGGAAGCTGGCCCCACTGGGAAGCAGCCGGTGCTCTTTGCATCCTTGGGAAGGGGGAGCTGCTGTGTCCTCCCCCACCCAGCGTCTCCCAGTGATGTAGGCAGGTCTCATTCAGAGGGTGCAGAAACGCTTAACTTGACGAGGGCCGTGGGCTGGACTCGTGACCCAGGCAAGGCCTCCTAGTCTTCAGGTGTGCCCCAGAGATGAAAATGCCTGGTTGTGCCTCTGAGTTTCTAACGGCTTCGTCCTCCTGGCAGGTGAGCCAGGTGGTAACCCCAACAAGCGGCAGAGACAGCCTCCTCTCCTTGGGGACCATCCTGCTGAGTACGGTAAGGGGCTGGTGGCACCTGGGCTCCGGGCCTTGCCCAGGCTCGCATGCTGCGATCCCTGACGCTTCCTTCTCTCCTCCCCAGGAGGACCTCATGGCGGGTACCATGGCCACTACCATGACGAAGGCTATGGCCCTCCACCACCCCACTATGAAGGGAGGAGGATGGGGCCGCCTGTGGGTGGCCGCCATCGGGGACCGAGCCGTTACGGGCCGCAGTATGGACATCCTCCACCCCCGCCGCCACCCCCAGAATACGGCCCCCATGCCGACAGCCCAGTCCTGATGGTGTACGGCTTGGATCAGTCCAAGATGAATTGCGACAGGGTCTTCAATGTCTTCTGCCTGTATGGAAACGTGGAGAAGGTAAGGGCTTTGCGGGAACTTGCTGAGCCACTCTTAGTGGGGGGATGCGGCCAGCGGGCAGGCTCGCCGCTGCCAGCCCCAGACCTGCCGAGTGGGCCCAGCTTGTTTTCCAGTGGTGAAGGGGGAAAGCCGGTGGCCGCCTCTGCACTGGAGGCCGGGCGCTGCGAATGGGGGACCGCACAGTCCCCTCCGTTGCGTGTCCCTTCAGGTCCAGGGCTGGCTGCTTCACAGCCGTGAGGGCCTTCACCGTGCTCCCGCTCTGAGTTCCGCACACGTGTACTTGGTGTCTGTACTGGTGCACGTGACGGGCTTCTAGGAGCCCTTGGGCGAGAGGCCTCCTCAAGCCCTTTGGAACAGGCTTGAGTTACAGAAGGCAAGTGATTGTCTGACGGGAAGTGCCTTCTTCTGCGGAAGAGCTTCTCACACGGTGCAAAGTAAAGATGGCAGGAGAGGATTGGTTTCTACCATCTGTAGGCTGGCTCTCTGCAGACGTAACCTTGCATGCATCAGCTGCAGCCTTCAGCCCAGTGCCCAGGCAGTAAGGCATACTTTAAAGTGTGCAGATCTTGAGTCGTACTGCCAAGTTGGTGTCTTGGCCGATAGATGTGTAAAAAGGGGTGTGTTTTATTAGGTGAAATTCATGAAAAGCAAGCCTGGAGCGGCCATGGTGGAAATGGCCGACGGCTACGCTGTGGACCGGGCGATCACCCACCTCAACAACAACTTCATGTTCGACCAGAAGCTGAATGTGTGGTGAGTTCCCCCCTTGGGGGCCCTTTCTCCTCTGCCCTGTCCGAGTGCTGCGCATGAACCTAAGCGGCACGTTCCCCTTTCCACTGCAGTGTGTCCAAGCAACAGGCCATCATGCCTGGCCAGTCGTACGGCCTGGAGGACGGCTCCTGCAGCTATAAGGATTTCAGCGGCTCCCGAAACAACCGGTTTTCCACCCCAGAGCAAGCGGCCAAGAACCGGATCCAGCACCCCAGTAATGTGCTGCACTTCTTCAACGCTCCTCTGGAGGTGACGGAAGACAACTTCTACGAGGTGCGCATTCTGGTGCTTGGGCCCACCTCGGCCTGCGTGCGCACATAGGTGGCCTTTCTTGCACTTGGATGCTGCTGCGGGTGCAGGGCTGGCTTTGCAGCAAAGCAGGGAAACGCGCCGCGCCTACTAAAGAGGGACTCTGGAGAGCTGGGCAGGCAGATCTTGGGCTCTGTATTTGGCTCCCTCAGGTGATAATTGACACGTCTTGATTTTGGAAGGATGCAGTACAGGAGAGTGTTTCATTACCTGTGCCAAAGCATGCCCTCAAAATAGTTTTTAACGAAAACACTGACCTTTGCCGGTTCCGGCAATTCTATTTTTAAAAACAAATTGAAAGCTCTTAAAATAGTCAAGACTATTTTGGCTCCTTCCTATTCTTGCCAGCATATTGCAGGGATTGCACTGAAGCTGTTTGAAAATAATCTGTGTGGACTGTGAAGCAGCAGTTGGCCTTACCTGGAATTTGAGCTTGATCTAAGCATGAACCTTGCGAACTGTGTGGCTAATCAGCATTTGGGTTGACTTGTGTTTAAATCTTTCTCCCATTAGATTTGCGATGAACTGGGGGTAAAGAGACCAGCTTCAGTCAAGGTCTTTTCAGGGAAAAGTAAGTATGTGCTGTAGTTCCCCAGCCCCCAAACCGCTTCTCAAGAAGCAAGAACTGGGGACAAGGGCAGGTGCAAAGCCTCCTGCAGGGCAGCTGGTCATCTGGGCCAAAATAGGGTGCTCCGACGATGGGGTCAAGTCGCCTCTCTACCCCCTTGTTCTTCAGCATCTTAGAACTATTTACATCATCTGCTCTGAGCACCATGATCATCATCCTGGCTGTGGATGATCAGAATTGGAGTCAGGGTATCCGGAGAACAGTGGGTTAGGGAAGGCTGGGCTGCAGGAGGAAAATGTACTTTTCTTTGGGTTGTAATGGAGCCGTGCAGGTTTCATTGGTGAGTGAGAGACCCCAAGCTGGCCCACATGTGCTGGTTGAGATGTGCTACTAATGTATCCGCAGGTGAAAGGAGCTCGTCCGGCCTGCTGGAATGGGAAACCAAAGGTGATGCTCTGGAGACCCTGGCATTCCTCAACCATTACCAGATGAAAAACCCAAGTAAGACTTGTGTTCCTGTGTTGTGAATTTCTCTGTGTGCTTCTCTAGCAGTTTGGAATGTCCTCCAGAATTTGGGGCTGCACCTCCCAAGAGATACTAAGAGCAGCAGTGCTGGACTTCAGCTGTAAGCCTCCCCTTGCTGCTAACAACAGACAGTGGGATGGGAAGACTCCAGTCCCTCACACTGGAGGCCACACATTGCCAAATGCTGGTCAACTCCTGATGCCTGGGATGCTGTCCTGGCAGCCTTGTGGAGCGACTGCAGGCCTTTCCAAGAGGCTTCTGTTGCTGCCACTTCCGCCGCAGAAGGAAAAGAGGAAGGCAGGCTCTCACATGAGCGCATAATGACCCAGGCTTCATCTCTGGGTGTGAAGTGCGATGTGCCTTGGGCACCACTGGTAATGCCTATTTAAATCGAGGCCTGAGGCTCGATCAGGCGCCTTCAGATGGCTTTAAGGGGATGAAGTATGGAGGGATTCCAGTCGAAGTACATTGGAAAGGTTCAGCTGATTTAGTCCAAGCAACCTCACAGGGTTGTTACTTTGAGGATAAGTTTGAGAGGAGGAGGAGGAGCAGAATTCTGCAAAGCTGCCTTGAGTTCCTAGAAAGGAAAAAAGAAAGACAAACACTACATTTGTCTGTCTCTGTTAGATGGGCCATTCCTCAGTAAGCGTTAGTGAGCTTGTATTGTTAAGGAATAACGAGGACCTTCTTGTCTCTCCTAGACGGGCCATATCCATACACATTGAAACTCTGCTTCTCGACTGCTCAGCACGCCTCGTAAGATTTGTTGGCTCCTTCCAAGGAAGACTTCTATGTTACTTGTGTGTGTGTGCGTGATTTTTGCAAAGCACTGCTCCGTTTTTTTTAAGCTTAAGTAGAGGCTGCCTGCATCTATGTCAGCTGGGGAGAAGCCCGGTAGCATTTGGATGACACCTGATTTTAAAACTATTGTACATGTGACTTGTTTTTCCCCAATTCATACTATGTGCTGCCTGTGCAACTTAGCACCACCTTAATAAAGCTGTTTGGAAAATAAACCCTGGTCCAGAACGTTGGTGCAGCGGTGCCCTTGAGAAGCCTGCTGGGAGACTTGGCAAGTATTAAGTTGGAACTGCTGGGGCTGGTACTGATGTCTTGGAGTTGGGTCTGCATATTGAGTTACTTTGGGATCATGCAGGGCAGACGTGACCTGAAGCTATAAAATAAAACTCTGCTCAGAATTTAAAATTCTGTTAACAAACTTGCTGCAGTTACCTTAATTATACCGAATGGCCGCTCTTCTTGTATTAGCAAGGGAATGCTCTTGACTGACTAAAGCCCTCTGCTATATAGGGATTGAATATATGGCTTGAACTGCTCTGTGGCCAGTTAGGTGGAAGCAAGTTCAGATGGGTTCGCTTCAAGCAGGCAAGCATCAAATGCAAGTATTTCCAGTCGTAATCAAAAGCATTACTGCCTAAGTATTCAGATGATTCCTCCGCCTAAAAACTCAATGCCTTCCAAGCAAGAGTCATAAAATGTTACCAAAAACATCTTTAAAATGATGAGGAGGGCCCATGTTTAAGAACCACATTCTGCTCTTCGGTGAAAGACAGTGGAAGCTAACGTAGCTCAGCTGCCCTTCCTGACCATATTCCAAGAAAGGAGGAAGAGCAAGGCCGCCGTGATCCACGGAACTGCCTGCCTGCGCCTGCAAGTTGCTCTCCCCCAGAGCTGCGTTCCCCGGTTACGATGCATGGTAAGGAAAAATGACCGGCCTTGCGCGGCTGCCTGCGAGACCAGCCTCTTGTGCTGAGCGGCTTCTACCCGGGCTCCTCGGGAACTGCACCTTCCAGTCGTGGGGCTTTGTATTTGCACCCGCCCCTTTCCGCCCGTGCCGGTTTCTCTCGTTTGGGACCCGGCCGCCCCCCCCCCCCGCCCGTGACGCTGCCGCCCCAGCGAGGGAGCCACGTGGCCAGCCCGCCCCCGCGCGACGCGCCCTCGCCACCCGCTCCCTCCTCGGGCCGGGCCGGCAGGGGGCGCTGCCCGCCGCGGACTCCGCGCTGGCGAGGGAGCGGAAGCCGCGGGCTCCTTCCGGCCGCCCGGAGAGGCCATCTTTGTTGCGGGCGCGCCCGAGGGCGGGGCTTTCTGGGCGTCTCCGCCGCCGCCAGTCGGGGAGCGGCGAGCGATGGCGGCGGCCGCGGGTGCTGTGCTCAGGGGGCTGCTGCGGAAGCGTGAGTGGGGGCAGTCCGCCGGGGGGGCTTTCCCGCCTCTGTCTTGCCCCCGGCCCCCGCCGCCTCCTTATTTGCCCAGTCCCCGGCCCCGTCCTGCAGCGGGCGCCTCGCTCGCCGCCCGGGGCTGCTCCGCCCGCGCTGCCCGCCCCTCGCCCGGGGGCGAAGGCCGCCGTCGCGCGGGTCTGCGGGGCCGCGGCGTGCGGGCCGGTGCGCGGCTGGGCCAGGCGCCCCGCGCGGCTCCTGCCTCCCCGGGCACGAGGGCGGCACGGCTCACCCGCGGCGCCGATGCGTGGGGCTGCAGGGCTTGCACGCCACGCCTCGCCTCGCCCGGCTTGGGGGCTTGGCGAGGGGCTGGGCGCATCCAGCGGAGAGCGGGCTGCCCGTGCCGCCAGCCCTGCCGCCGCTTCGCCCCCGCTCCGGGTTCAGGGGAGCCGGCCCGTGGCTGCCGCGGGCGGCCTGCGGGATCCCCGGGGCAGCAGCCTGGCTCCGGGCAAACACGGTGCTGGATCCCGCGGGGCTCCTCTTGCAGCGCCCGGCGGGCGGCGCGGTTGGGCGAGGTGCCAGGACGGTGACCCCGCTGGCCGTTTCCCAGAGCCTCGACGGGGCTCCGGAGCAGAGGGGCCTTTGCTCTGACCCAGGAGGGGTTTGCGTTGCCCTCCGGAGGCTGGCGAAACGCGCGTGATCCCACCAGAGCCCGCTCGGTGCAGGAGAGTGGCAGCGGAGTCGGGAAGGGTCCTGCTGGCATTGAGTGCCAAGGGCACCTCCAGGCCCTCGCTCAGCCCGGGAATGTTGTTCACGAGCAAACGCAAGCGCGGTCATTCCGCTACCGGATCCGTTCCTCATATGGAAAGAATGAAGACCTCCCAAAAAGATACAGGGGGCATTGACTGGCGTGCGGCACAGCAAAGCAGGCGCTCGCCCTCGGCCCCTTCCCAGAAGGGAGGAACGCGTTGGCGGGGTGGCCAGTGGGATTTCCGTGCTAGCGAGTGAACGAAGCCTCCAGAGGAGAGGGGTTACGGAGGCGAGGCCCCCTGGGAAGCTTTCCATGTAAAGGGTGATATAAAGCGGGTCAGGATGTCTCATGATGCGCTTTAATCAGGCAGTGGTGCTGGCTGGGAATTCGCGCTGAGGTTTGGTGCGGTTCCCGACTGGTCCTGGCTCAGCTTGTAAGTAGCACTAGAACACTCTCCTGTTGCAACTGGAGCTGGTGATCTGTTCCAGACACTCCACATTTTAAAATCTGTTTATTCACATTTAAAATACTAGAAAGTACATTTTAAAGAATGTCACCTATAAAAAAACTCTTTGTAATCTTTAAAAATCACAATGTTTGAGTTTCTAACATGCATAAAACAGAGGTGCTATTGTTGATAATTTTTCCTCACTCCTTGTCGGTTGCCCAGAGATGGGCCTGCCCCGCTCCGGAGTGCCCCACTCACCTCGCCCCCCCGTCATCAGCTCCCCCTGGGCTCTTTGCACCAAAGCGGAGTTGCAAAACAAGTTGTCAGGACTTTCCACGCAAGAGTCTGCATGTCCTCCCATCGCACCCGGGGGACTTGGCTTGTTTGCAGATCGGCCCTCCCCTCTGTCTGGTCACCTGCCCCGTCCCGAGCTGGAGCCAGTTTTTGCTCCGATGAGGATAGGAAGGCAGAGTGTCATTCCCGGCCGTTCCAGCTGGAAGGAAAACGGGCAGCAGGTGATGCAAAAGACCTTTGCCCTATATTCTGGAGAGCTGTCGCTTGCCAGAGAGCAGATGGAGGCCTGCTTCGTAGATAATGGCAATGCAAGGAGCTGGCCCTCATGATGCAGCTGGTTCAAAGTGGGTTATTTAACCATGATGGGGCACAGTGCTTATGGGCACATGAGCCCTTTATTTTGAATATTTTAATTACTTAAGCTTCCATTTATATGTCACCTACCAACGTCTCAAGGTGGCTTACAATAATGCAGCTCAGTTAGTGACAGGGTTCTGTGTAGGTTTATTTGTTTTTATTTATTTATTTTTACATTTACATGCTGCCCCCTACTCCCAGTGGAGTCTCCGGGTGGCTCCCAATACATCCTTGCTCTGCACCCCAAGTCGGACGTGCCCCTTGCGGTCGGTACATCCCTGCTCTGCTCCGCTCCACTTCCAGGGGTCTCCATCCAGACGGCTTCCTGCCGTAGTTTCAGGACCATGTCTTCCCAGCAGCAGCAGAAGCAGAATTCCTCGGACAGCTATGAGACCCTGAAGGTGGAGCGGGTGCGAGACAAGGTGCTGCACGTGGAGATCAACCGGCCGGAGAAAAGGAATGCCATGAATGCCGCCTTCTGGAGGTAACAGGAACCTGCGGCGGCCCCCGAACCGGGGGACGGGTCCCGCTTTCGCCGTGATGGGCCTCTTTTCCACTCATGCTGCAGCCTTGGGCTTGTCTGACAGGCAGAAGGCCTGCGATTCCTGGCATGCTGTCTGGAGTGTGCTGAGAGTGGTCAGGTTTTTGTCTTGTCTGCAGAAGCATAGGATTGCGTCCTGAAGCTACACTCCTGTTCAGGTTTAGGCAGAAGAGCGGCCCGCCAGTCCCAGCGAGTCGCAGGCCCTTTTTCTGTTCAGACGTGCTCGGGATCGCACCCCGAGGGGCTCGGTGCGGGTGGAAAAGCCAGCTCACTGGCTCGCAGTTGGGCACTTTCAGGCTGGAGGCGGCAGGGTGGCCTCAGGCAGGTCCCGCCAAGCAGGGGGAGGTTGGGCTCCCAAGCCACGCATCCGTTGCATCTCAGAACCGATCTGGACACGGCCCACACTGGTCCTCGCAGGCTGGGCAGGGCAGCGGGGGCAGGTTCACTTGGAGCAGCCCCCAGGCTTTTCTGGGTCAAGGCAGGCCTTGGTGGGGAGGCAGTCTGGGAGCCGCTCGTGGCCACCTGGGGTCCCAGGGCGGGCTGGCAGCACCGCGTGGTCTGTCCGCGTCCTTAGACTGAATTGAGTTTCGTATTTAGGGTGAAAAGGCTTCCTTCCCCACAAGCCCCAGTGTCTGTTCTCAGGTTGGCAGCCGGGGCTCCCAGCTCATCCCGTTCTCCTCTTCCTTGACCTCAGAGAGATGGTCCAGTGCTTCCGAAAGATTGCCGAAGACCCAGAGTGCCACGCCGTGGTGTTATCTGGTGCTGGGAAAATATTCACGGCAGGTAGGTGCAAAAAAGAAATAGAAGGCATTGAGGTCCGGAGCAGCCGTCCCTTTCTGCCGCTTACACCCGCTGAATCCAGGCGCTCTGTTCGGCTCTCGTGGCAAACAGCTGCAGCAACTTGGCATCCCCAAGAACGTCTGTAGTGCCGTTCGGAAGCCACCCAGCAAGCGGCTGCCGCTCCGCCAGAACAAGAGGGAGGAAAAGGCCGCGGGAGGCTGAATTTTGGAGTGGCAGATCAGCAGCAGCAATTCCAGGGATGAGCACAGCCCCGGTGGGCGGGGGCCGGAGGGGAGGGGGGCAAAATTGCCCCCCGGCCCACCCCGGCTGTGCCGCTTGCAGAGCCCAGTGCCGAAGATTTCCTGGCGCGGAGCGGCACAGGCCACGAGGGCGGCTGGCCAGGGCAGCGCAGCCGGCTGCATTCCCTTGTGCCTGCGTCTCGCACCCCTGCAGGCATCGACCTGATGGAAATGGGCAGCACGTTCCTCATGATGCCGGGAGAGGACACGGCCCGGAAGGCTTGGAACATCCACTGGAAGATCCGGGAGTATCAGGAAACCTTCACAGTGCTGGAGAAAGTGAGTGGGGGCGCCGCCGTGCTCGGGACCCCCGTGCGGGAAGCCTCTGTCCTCCACGGCTGATTGTCGCTCTGCGTTTCAGTGCCCAAAGCCCGTCATTGCGGCCATCCACGGAGCCTGCATCGGAGGAGGTGAGCCCTGTGAGCCTCGCTCAGCCGCGCCCCTCGGCCCTCCCCAGTCCGGCTGCACCTGCTGCTGCCCCCAGCGCTGGTAGTTTTGGGGTGTCCATGTTAGAGGCGAGCGAGAGGAGGCGCAGTGGTGCAGCACGTGGCTTCCGGGTGGGAAGACCAGGCTCCGCCCCCGGCAGCTCCTGGCAGGGCTGGAAAACCCCCCGCGGAAACCCTGGAGAACCAGTGCAGCCAGTTAGTGCTGGCAGAGCGCCAGCCGGCTCCTGGGGTCCCGGCGTGCTCTCCTCCCTCCCCGGCCCCCGAAGCTGCTGTATCCATAGCACAGGGAAGTGGGGGGGGCATGGGGATCTGTTGGCGCTTACTCTGCATTTACCTGTGGGCTTTCTGAAAGACACGCAAGGCCTTTTACTATTTAAAGATGGATGCGGTGCCATCCGGCGCATGTCTGGGCGAGGAAAGGCCTGTATCTCTTGGCACGGCCCAGCCAGGACCCATGGAGCCGGCATCTTGGAGGGGCCTACTCTCATTCCTGGCTCTTGCTTTCTCTGCCTGCCTTTTAAATCGCTGAAGACACAGCCTGGCCTTCAGCTCATGTGGCCAGTTCTGCCCAAGATGATGCACGCGGGCTGGTGTGAGCTGGTAGATCTTGGGGCTTTGCTCGTGTTCAGCTCTCTTCTCGAGGAACCAGTTGTCCACCTGCAGGCGGCAGTGTTGGGTTGCTAAAAAGTGTGTAATCCACAAGTTTCAGCTGCATAACCAGACTTCCCTTTTAAAACCTGGGTGTAGTCTGTTCCTCTGAAGATTCTGCCCTTGCTGAACCACAGAGGGTCTGCGTGTTCCTCGTACCATTTGGACAAGGGCTTATAGGCCCATCGCCCCATTGAAATAGTCATTAATTATGTTAAGAAAACAATAAAAAAGGAAAAAGCAATAGTCATTAATTGCACGCGTTTTTGTTAATTGATTCATGAATTTCAACAATGCAGTCCTTTTTTCTAAAAATTAAAAATTCTAGCCTTCCATTGAAATGGCACTCTGAAGTTACTAAACAATAAAATACCGAAAAATGACAATCATTATAGTTAAAAATAAAATCTCCACTTAAAATGTATCAATACATCAGAAACAGTAGCCAAAGGAAGGTAATTGATAAGGGGGAAGTAAGAGCACCCACCAAATTAAAAAAACTGCTTTGGGAGCAAATTGGTTTAGGTGCGCAAAGCTGGAATAAAAATGCTTTTGCCGGGGCAGGGGGGGAGCGAGGATGGTGGAGAAGGCCTGCCTTGTCTTCTCATGAAATGCACCCCTCTGAGCATGGCTGGGCTGAGAGAAGGAGCTTAAGAACTGGGCATCTGGGGCATGGCTTTCTTAACATGCCTGCTCAAAAGAAGTCCCACGGACTTCCGAGGGGCTTCCTTCTGAGACCTGTACACACCTGTATAATCGTCCTGGTAGAAAAAGGTCCGCCATTCTCTTGCTGATGCACAGCAGCTCTTCTAGAAGGTGCCTTCATAAATTCCTTCAGGATATCACATCCTGTCTGTTCCAGGACACTCAATGCAGCTGAAGCTAAGCAGTTGTGAGCCTTGTTGGCCTCCTGGGAATTTTGCATGCACTGCTCGGAGTCCCCAGATGAAAGGGGGGGCGGGGGGGTGGGGATGCCTCGAGCAAGTTGAATGAAGGGGTGGGCTGGCAGGCACCAAGCCGCTGGTTTTGTTCCCCCGCAGGGATGAGCCTCATCTCGGCCTGCGATATCCGCTACTGCACCCAGGATGCCTGGTTCCAGGTCACGGTGCGTCACAAGGGGTGCACCGCCCCCCCCCCCACAAAAGACATTCCTGCATGGCTCGGCCGCCCCAGTCATCTCCCCTCCCTGCGCCAGCTTTCCCTGCATCCCTTCCCAGCCCCTCCGTTCCTTTCCTAGTTCTCTGCCCTTTCCCCTCTGCCATCCGACGCCTGAAAACGTTTCTCCTCCCGCTGCAACCCCTTGCAGGAGGTGAACATCGGGCTGGCAGCGGATGTGGGCGCTTTGCATCGGTTGCCGCACATCATCGGCAGCCGCAGGTGAGTGCTGGCGCTCGCCCCTACCTTGCTTCACGGCCTGCAAGAAAGACCTGCGCCTGTTCCCGGTTAATCCGGTCTCTGCAGCAAGGGAGTCTGGGGAAACGGCGTCCCAGAATGCCATGTTCCAGGAAGCAGAATCGGGCATTGTGGGAGAGCCAGGGGGTCCCACGTGGGGAGCCAGCCCTGTGGCCCGATCCCCGGCGTGGCGGAAGCGCTGGAGGCCTCGGGAGCAGCCAGGAAGACGGGTGGAGAGGCTGTTCCATCCTGCAGGCAGCTCCCCCCCTCGGAGAAGGAGACGCCCTCTCCCCTTTCCCCGTTCCTGGGAAGCTCTCTTGACTCGGATGCCTCTGCGCCCTCCCCAGCCTGGTGAGCGAGCTGCTTTTCACCGCCAGGAAAATGATGGCGCCAGAAGCTGAGAAGAGCGGTCTGGTCAGGTACGTGCGTCTCGGAAAGGCCTGTGCTGAATACCAGGGGGAGTCTGGGGGGCCCGGGACTCGGCCCCACTTGGCCGTAGAGCTTCCTGGGCCAGTCGCTCGCTCTCGGACCCACCTGCTTCCCGGGCGGTGGTTGTGAGGATAAAATGGAGCCAGGTGAGCAAGAGGGAGAAGATGGGATGGAGCGCACTGTAGCAGCAGCAGCAGCTGCCCCCTCTCGTGCTTGCTCCCCTCCCACTTGCACTGCACTTTCCCCAGCCGCGTGTTCCCAGACAAGGAGGCCATGATGGAGAGCACCTTTGACCTGGCCACCGAGATCGCCAGCAAGAGCCCCGTCGCAGTGCAGGGTGCCAAGGTCAACCTCGTCTACGCCAGGGACCACCCTGTGCCCCAGGGCCTGAAGTTTATGGTGAGCCGTGGGCACGCTCTGGGGGTGGAGCGCGGGCTTAGTGGGGCCAGGAGAGGAGCAGAGGCAGCTCCTCGGAGCCAGCGAGCCTGGCAGGACGGGCTCCGTGGGAAGCGGCACCGTCCCCTCGCTCAGGGTTGCTGCCCATGCCCGTGTGTTGCAGCGCCCTTGCCTCTGCTGGCGCGAAATCCGAGAATCTGCAAGAAATTCAATCCAGTGAAATGATTCCTATATCCTGCTCACCCAGAAAGTGCTCCTTTTTGGCCTTCTGCACTGTTAAATTCTGGGCTCTGCCTCGAAATTGGTGTGGGGGTGGCTGTGCCGTAAAGTCCCCCGTCTTACCTAATCTGGTTTCCAGTCAGCAAAAGATCCTTGTTAAAAAAGACATGACGCAAAAGGATGGAAATCGAGCTGCTGCTCCTGCAAACCACGATTCAGGAACAGCCTGTATACGCAACCCATACTCTGGGCTGTTGTTCCCTGTCAGCCGGCTCATTGCCTGTACCTCTCCGGCTGTATTTGTGTCCAGTCATGAAGACCAGCTGCTTTATTTTAAATACTTTTTTAAAAGGTGTCCAAATGGGAGATGCCTTTAGGTAAGATAATGGAAGGGAAGAATTGTCGACTCGCCCCCCCCTCCCCTTAGAGCCCCCCCAGGCTCCGGGAGGTCATTTGCTGGAAATCTCTAGTGTGAAGTTTAGGAAGAAGTGCCCCTTTCGCAGCCTCACAAGCAGGTTGTGGTACTCTTTGCCGTAGAGATAAGGCAGTGCACGGGAGTGAGCACATGAAAAGGACTGAAGGAGTTCCATTTCTGTTGGCTCTTTGTGATGCCCAAAAGCGCTGCCCCCCCTGTCTCCCGGGAGTGTCTGTTTCATTCGGCCAGCCGTTGCGTTTGGCTGGCCCTCCCTGGCAGGCGGTGCCGAACTGGGCGAGGACCCCTTCCTGGTTCTGCTCGGAGCAGCTCAGTCCTCGCTGGGAGGAACCACTCCCCTTGGCCTGCCCTGGGTCGCCATCCTGGCTCCCTCTCATGCCCGCCCTCAGGCTGCCTGGAACATGAGCATGCTGCAGACGGAGGACATCGTGAAGTCGGCCCAAGCCGCCATGGAGAAGAAGACGCCCAAGGACGTCACCTACTCCAAGCTGTAGCTGGGCCGCCGGGCTCGGGGTGGCGCACGCAACCCTGGGAGCTGCGGTGCCTCCCGCGGCCTCGTGCATGGCTGGCCTGGGCTCCTGCGAAGCAATGAGGAACAAGTGCCTTGGACGGGTGGCCGAGCCTCACGCTCCGGTCGCACCCCTGCGATAAGGGCTTCTGCTAGAGCAGGTTGCTTGGGGCCTGTCTTTTGAAAAAATGACTTTTCAAAATGTGAAGTGGAGCAACAGACGGGAAATAAACGTTCTGTGAGCTCGGCATCCTGTAAGACGTTCCTATTTCGACAGGGATCCATTCTGGCTGCGCACCCTCTGATTCTGCAGTTCGGTTTTAACAAGGCTGCTTTGAACAGGAAGAGAGTTCTGAAATGTTTCCTTTCCCCCCGTTTTGCTCATCCTCAAAAGGACACAAGGGGCGATGCACGATGCTGAGGCGCCTCTTTACCTCTCCCACCCCAGGCCTGTGTTTGCGTTCCTGAGGGCTGGACACTTGCTCTTCAGAGATAGAAACAAGTTCAGAGAGGGCAAATGGCAGCTGGGCCCCGCATGCGTCCAGGAATGAGGCTGGACGCTGAGGCCAGAAAAGCCTCACCCGGGAGCAGGCCCAGGGCCAGGCGCTGCAGATCCGCACCCCTTCCCCTCCTGGGGAATCCTAGCTGTGCTACTCGGCCCCCTTTGGGTTGATCGCGGAGAAGAGTGCAGGGGAAGGCTCGGGACGATGGCGTGCGTGGGGCGGGAAACGCTCTTGCGTCCGGGGTGTGTGAGTGCCGAGCGCCAGCAGAAACCTGCTTCCGGGCTGCCATTTCTGGCCGGTCCACGGGAAGCATATCGGTCGAGCTCCCCACATTTTCTTCTGAGTGAAGTGGGGCGTGGAAATTCCCTTCAAAGCCATGTTTCAGGAAAGAGAAGGGAAACTGCCCGTCTCTCACACAGACTGCAAGTGATTGTCCAGATAAATTTTACACAAAAGCAAACCTTGGCAACTGTTGAAGAGGAGAAGGAAGCAAGGAGGAAAGGAGAGAGGGGCAGGGCTGGGGGAGGGGGCCGTGGCCATGGCCCCCCAGGGAGGGAGGGATCTGCCCCAGGCCTGCCGCCTTCTTCCCCTTCTCCAAAGGGCAGCAGGCAGTGAATGTGCCGGGACGCCGGGAGGTTGTGTGGTGTTGTGACACAACATGCGTAGCACAGCCAACGGGCCTTCATTCAGTTGGTCAAAGTGTGTGTTTGGTCTGTAGACCTTTCCACAAATCAGTACATAAAACCATTATCATCAAATAACTGTTAAAACAGGTATTATTAAAGGAACAACTAGAACAGTTTTGAAGCCGAGCAGGGTTAGTGAGTTGACCGAGAAAAGCGGAAGACCAAATGGTGCACAAGTGCAGACTTTTCATCTTTACGAACAGCCGTGTGTGTATGATCTCACCTTAATAACTGCCACAAGCTCTTGGTTGTTTGTTCTAGTTCAGGCTTATTTATCATAGCCCACAGATGGGGAATAGAATCGCCCTTCTGGGCAGGAAAAATAAGTCGAGCAATTGGAAGGTGGGCCCTGGTGCCATTATACAGGCGGCGTGGCGCTCGAATCTGCCCCAGTCCCGACTGACATGGTCCCAGCCCTCACTCGAGCAGAACTTTTGGAAAACCTCCTCCCTTGCCTTCTAATGGACCAGGGGTCGGCAACCCGCGGCTCCGGAGCCGCATGTGGCTCTTGGACCCCTCTGCCGTGGCTCCATTGCTCAAAACACCGCCCGCACAGCCGCTGATCTGTTCGAAGGAAGCTCCAGTAGCTCGTGGAACGCAGCGCTAGCTAGTTAAATCAGCTAGTTAAGTCGGTCTCTACGTTTCTTCGCTAAACAAGCTTCCTGCAGGGCTCTCATGTTACAGGAAACGCTGCTGAAAGGATTCTCTTTGTCCCAATGTAATCTCCTTCATCTGAATGTTAAAAGCTGCGCTTGGGACCTGTCACAATTCACAGCACTTGACGGTTTATCTGCTAATCAGTCACTAAACACACCTGTATCTCTACTGCTGATGAACTTGGGTTTGCTGTTTAATGCATGCAGCCCTTTAAGCACTGATTTTGACTCTTCAGGAAGCTGTTCTCCTATTCAAAATATGTGAAAGGAGTCTTACTAGTGCATAGTGTAAGATTAAAAATAACAGTTTTTAGTGACTGAACAAGAGCTGCAGCTAAAGCATAGCTATTTATTTATTCATTAAAACATTTCTATGCTGCCCCTTGCCGAAGCCTCGAGGCAGCTTAAGACACAATAAAATACAAAAATAACAATATAAAATTAAAATTAACAACATAAAATAAATAAACAATATAAAAGAAGTCGCCCTGGCCAGATAAATAGTTTGCAGTGGCCGGTTTGCAGGGGATGCCGTATGAGGCGAGACTGAGGGAACTGGGTCTCTTCAGCCTGGAGGAGAGGAGACTCCGAGGGGGTCTGTTGGCGGCATGCAGGTACGTGAGGGGGTGTCACGCAGAGGTGGATCAAGGCCTGTTTTCCCCTGGGGAGGAGGGCAGGACGCGCTCCAACGGAGCCAGGCTCAGGGAACCCAGGTTCCATTTGGATGCCACGAAGCACTTCCTGACAGTCAGGACCCCGAGGGTGTGGAATGGGCTCCCACGGGAGGTCGTTGAGGCCCCATCGGTGTGGGTGTTCAAGGATAGGCTGGACGTCCACATGGTGGGCATGTCATGAGCGGAGCCGGCTGGAGCCAGGGGTCAGACTAGATGGCCCAGGAGACCCCTTCTGACTCACTCTGTTTCTATAATGAAGATATACATAGCATTAAGGTAAAAAAAAAACGATATATGCAGTGTTATCTTCATTTTAGATGTCAAAAGGATTTTGTGGCTCCCGGTGTTTTCTTTTGTGTGGGAAACGGGTCCAAATGGCTCTTTGTTGAAGGTTGCCAACCCCCGTGATAGACCAAAATGACAAGAACCCGGTGCTTCTGTATTTGTGCTTGCCTTCCTCCGAGAAGCTCCGACTGGGTGAGAAGTGGGGGAACCTGCATTTTGCCAAGCCCCGTTCGGCACAGCTCGAGTAGCCGGCTGCTTCGGGATCGCCCAGGCAGCACCATGGCCTCGTGGGAGCTTGGACCTGTGCCCTGGCCCTAGCCAACCCGCTGGCCGCAGCTGGCTCTTCTGCAGGCAGCAGATGCCCAGGCAGGCTGGGTCGTTCTGGGGAATGGGGCTTGGGCAGCTGGGCTGCAGAGTTGAGGCCCAAGCTGCTGGTTGAGGCCCAAGCCTTCAGAACCAACCGTTCTTGGTGGAAGGCCCCTGGAAGGCCCCGTGTTCTGACTGCACCCACAACCTGAAACCAGCAGCAGGGTGCAGCCACGGCCGCCACCGTCCTGCTTGCAGAACGATGGCAGAGCAGGTTCTGCAGGTACCCACGTTTCTTCCTCGTTCCCCATCTGCCGTGCCGTGCACAGCCCACCACCAGGAAATACTGCTATCTCGGAGCATAATCTCCCAGCCAGAGGTTCCATTCAGGCCTGGGTCCATCCAAGGGTGGATCAGCGCAGGCCTTGGCAGATTGGTATCGCCTTGTGTGAGCAGCTCATAACCTGATAACCCGAAACTTTGCAAACAGCAATAAAGATCTAGTTGTTAAGACCAAAGGTGTGCTTCCTGCTGCGTGGAAGGGCGCGAAGCTTCCCTCTTGCAAGGCCGCTTTGCAAAAGCCCCAGGCCCTCCTGCCCCTTGGAACCGGGGGGGGGGGGGCGCCGCCAAAGCTGCTGTTATGCCACTGTTTTTGTTGCCAAGACGTGCAGCGAAAACCCCTCAACTTTCCTATGAAGTGGGGTGCCACAGGGAGCAAGATGCACCCAGAAGGAATCGTGTGTTAAAGCAAAACGGCCCAGGTTGAGGACAGTGGGAGCTGTAATCCAGGGCATGTGGAGGGCACCCAATTGGGGAGGCTGCCCTGCACAGCCCAGCACCGCCTCCCCAGCTGTTGGGCCAGGGTCTTTCCCAGCGCTCCTGGGGCCTGATCCTGGGGCGCTCTGCGTGCAAAGCAGGGCTCTTTTTCCACTCGAGTGCCGCCCCTCAAGTGCCGCCCCAGCCATGTGCCAGAAGAACCGTGAGGTCTGTGTTTGCATTTGCCACCCTTTCGGCTGCTTTCGGGAAGGACGGCCGTGCCTCCTTGCACGGTTCCCGGTTCCAGAGAAGAATCTATGCTTCCGAGCAGGGCTTTCCCCCAAAGAGCCCAAGGCAAGAAACGGTTCCTCCGATCCTCCTAGTGAACCTGGGGAGGAAGTCAGGCCATGGGCCAGGTCTCTGGCACGAGGCACCCGCCACTCGCTGCTTGGCTGAGGGGATTGGAGCCTGGGGGCAGCCTGGCCCCACACTGACCAGCTCCCCTGCACCCAAGTCCAGGCAGCCTCTGGGCCGGTTCGGCTCCCCAGGTCGGGCGGCCGCATCTGCCCACTGCCCACGACACGAAGCGTTGAGAGGGCCTTATTTTGCTTCCTGGAGCGGCGGGAGGAGGCCGCCTTGGCCGTTGCTCTCCTATTCGCGGGCCCTTTGGCGGGGGCATTTCTGCCCTCCTGCCTCCGCGCCTCTGACATGTGGGCTGCGCCCCCTGTTGCACCAGATGGACGCGTCGGCCTTCAGACCGTCTTCAGGGCCACGATCTCCATGGCACACGCAGATGTGGACGGGGCGAAGGCGGAATGTGTGTGCTGGCCAGGTTTAGCGTGGGAAGAGCCTGCGGAAGGAGCCCGGTCAGGGGGCCTGGCTCATGCGCCCACGGATGGCGCCAGCCCCGGGGAAGCCTGTCTGGGAGTTGCCGGGCACTCCCTCCGCGCTCTCCTGCCACCGCACACCACCGGTCAGAGTCCAGCTGGCACGACCTCGCCTCCATTCATCCGGCTCATCCAGCCCCCGCACCTGCTGTGCCCTCCCCACCCCACTGTCCTTTGCCCCGTTTACAGCGCTGCCCATCCCTTGGGCGGGTCCCATGGAGGACCGCGATGTCGCCCAGCACCCAAGGCCCGGGCTGGTTGGCTGACGATTCAGCGCGGCTGCCTGGCTGGGCTTCTGCAAAGAGCGCACCTTTCGTTATTCCTTGCGCCAACGAAAGCACTGGGGCTTCATTGCCCCTCTTGCCCCTGCAGGCTCTCCGTGCATCCAGACGTGCCCCCCGTGGGCTGGCGGGGGTGAGAGTTTATGGATTCGTCCATCAAGGAACAGAGACGGAGAACCTGGGTTCCCGGTCTGCCAGTGGTGGCACTCGCTGCTAGTGCCCCGGCCAGCAATGCGTGCACTAGAATAACGTTTCCTTTGAGCATGTACTAAGTGCCCTTGCCTTGCCCCCGAGTGGTGGGTGGGGGATGATGGCCTCCAAGGCTCAATGCAGCTGGCCTCGGGCTCTGGAACTGGCAGAGCTCGGTGGAACAACGGTGAGCGAGAGCTCCTAGGCAGAGGCAGAGTTTCTCCCCTTCCACGATGGAGAAGCCACACACAGCACCCGCTCGACTGGCACTCAGGTGCAGCATCCCAGGGCGTGCCAGAGCCCTTGTGCTTCTCCTCGGGAAGCTCGGAGAGGGCCCTGCGGGCGAGGGCTTCCTCTGTGTCCTTCCAGAGGGCCTTCCCAGCTGCCACCGTGTGCTTCTAAGCGCCTTCCCCACTGGCCTGCTTAGCCCTACTTTTCAGCACTTCTGGAACTGCTTCTGCCTTTCTCGCACCCGTAGGGGTTAATTTGCTGTTGATGACTTGACCACTTGGAGGAGATACACTCTGCACATGGACAGAAGCCCTCTGTTCTTTTTTGCAGAAATGGAGTGGTACAAACTGGAGGGCAGCTGCAGGTCCCACTCTGCACCCCTCTGAGGCCTGCAGCTGCCCTTCTAGGAGTCGCACCAGATACTTGGAGTGTGCAGTGTGCATGTGTGTTGTGTGCAACACGTGTGTGTTGTGTGTGCATGCCTTTATGCACACCTCCTATGAATGACCACCTTTACCAGAGGAAGCTGCAGCACACAGGAAACGGGAGCATCGCCAAAGTGCTGAGACTTCAGGCCAGCAATTCTCCGAAGCGCCCAGCTCTCCGGCTTCTACGCCAGCCACACCCCCCCCACACACACCCCCACCCACCCCTAGCTTTGCTCCAGGGCCCTTAATAGCAGCTTAGTGTGCATAAATTCCACATGTGTGAAATCAGATACTGCTCTGTGTGTGAGCTTTCCCTGCACAAGGTGCTTAAAGGTGCAAGCAGCAGCAAAGGACCAGGAAAGCGCCCGCAAGTCCGAGTCCCTCCGCCAGCTTCCCCCTCCCTTTGCCTTAGCTGCCGGGCCAGCGGTGGTGAAGCTCTGGCCCATGTGCCGCAGCGGCATGCAGAGCCCCCTCTGTCGGCACGCGGGCCGTGTCGCCCCAGCAGCCGAGCATCGGGTAACAGTGCGCATAGTGGCCATGCTCGGAAAGGACGGGCTGCGACTCATAAGCCACCACTGGGTCGGGGTTGGAAAACGAGGTGTCCTGGCACGAGTTTGATGGCTGGAATGTCTTCAGAATGGGCAGAGATGATGAGCTGTGCAGAAAAAGCTACTCAAGGAAGGCATTTTCAAAATCGCCTTCTTTTCAATGGAACTTTGCCCCCATATTAGGGTTAGGGGTGTGCACCAGGGTAGGGTTAGGGTTAGAAAAAGCAGGTGTCCTGGCAGGATTTTGATGGTTGGAATGTGCTCAGAATGGGCAGAAATGGTGAGCTGTGCAGAAAAAGCTACTCAAGGAAGGCCTTTTCAAAATCGCCCTCTTTTCAATGGAACTTGGCCCCCACATTAGGGTTAGGGGTGTGCGCCAGGGTAGGGTTAGGGTTAGAAAAAGGAGGTGTCCTGGCAGGATTTTGATGGTTGGAATGTGCTCAGAATGGGCAGAAATGGTGAGCTGTGCAGAAAAACCTACCCAAGGAAGGCTTTTTCAAAATCACCCTCTTTTCAATGGCACTTTACCCCTATATTAGGGTTAGGGCTGTGCGCCAGGGTAGGGTTAGGCTTAGGAAAACCAGGTGTCCTGGCACGATTTTGAAGGTTGGAATGCGTTCAGAATGGGCAGAAATGGTGAGCTGTGCTGAAAAACCTACCCAAGGACAACTTTTTCAAAATCGCCCTCTTTTCAATGGGACTTGGCCCCCACATTAGGGTTAGGGCTGTGCACCAGGGTTGGGTTAGGGTTAGGAAAACCAGGTGTCCTGGCAGGATTTTGATGGTTGGAATGTGTTCAGAAAGTGCAGAAATGGTGAGCTGTGCTGAAAAACCTACCCAAGGACAACTTTTTCAAAATCGCCCTCTTTTCAATGGAACTTTGCCCCCATATTAGGGTTAGGGGTGTGCACCAGGGTAGGGTTAGGGTTAGAAAAAGGAGGTGTCCTGGCGCGAATCTGATGGTTGGAATGTGTTCAGAATGGGCAGAAATGATGAGCTGTGCTGAAAAACCTACCCAGGGACAACTTTTTCAAAATCGCCCTCTTTTCAATGGAACTTTGCCCCCATATTAGGGTTAGGGCTGTGCACCAGGGTAGGGTTAGGGTTCGAAAAAGGAGGTGTCCTGGCAGGATTTTGATGGTTGGAATGTGTTCAGAATGGGCAGAAATGGTGAGCTGTGCAGAAAAAGCTACTCAAGGAAGGCTTTTTCAAAATCGCCCTCTTTTCAATGGAACTTTGCCCCCATATTAGGGTTAGGGGTGTGCACCAGGGTAGGGTTAGGGTTAGGAAAATGAGGTCTCCTGGCAGGATGTTGATGGTTGGAATGTGTTCAGAATGGGCAGAAATGGTGAGCTGTGCAGAAAAACCTACCCAAGGACAACTTTTTCAAAATCGGCCTCTTTTCAATGGAGCTTTGCCCCCATATTAGGGTTAGGGCTGTGCACCAGGGTAGGGTTAGGGTTAGGAAAACGAGGTGTCCTGGCGCGATTTTTATGGCTGGAATGTGTTTAGAATGGGCAGAGATGATGAGCTGTGCAGAGACACCTACTCAAGGAAGGACTTTTCAAAATCGCCCTCTTTTCAGTGGAACTTTACCCCTCTATTAGGGTGAGAGGAGCGCACCAGGGTTGGGTTTGCCCTTTGGTGGCGAAGCTTTGGCACACGTGCAACCGCAGGCACGGAGAGCCCGCTATGTCGGCATGCAAGCCAAGGTGCCCCAGCATCGCCCCAGCAGCCGAGCATCGGATAACAGCGCCCATATGGACCACCGCATGCTCGGAAAGGAGCAGTGGCGCCAGGCGGTGATGTCACGAGCCACGACTCGTCCGGGCTTTCGCATGCCCGGTCAGTGCCCTGCAAGGATGCATACATACAGATTTGCTTGGGCTGGCTGTGAAGTGTTTTTTCTAAACTAAACCCTCAGTTTTCCAGTTTTATTGCAGTGTTGGCACTTTGCGATAAATAAGTGGGTTTTCGGTTGCAGTTTGGGCAGCTGGTCTCTAAAAGGCTCACCATCGCTGTGCTGGGCCGTGCCAGAAGAGCAGCAAAATCCCCAGGCTTTCCGTGGGGAGCAGCCGGGGTGGGGCGCTGCTACGTAGTGCAATGAACTTTCTTCCAGCTGCGGTGGGTGGACCGGAGCCGCCTCCTGGGCGTTCCAGCCCTTCCGGCCCGCGTTATAAAGGCTTTCTCCTGGGACCTGCCAGGACTCCTCACCGCCCGCTCTGGACTCTGAGTCAGCGCCGACGCAGCAGTTGCAGCACCATGAGTTTCGTCCCGGCACCAGGATACATGCCTACCTTCAACCCGGTGAGTGCCCCCCTCCGGCTCCCGGATCCACTGTTTGCCCAGAAAGGCCATTTAAAATGCAGTGGTGCTGATGTTTTAGTGGGCTGGACTGAAGCATTTTTGGAGTCATTACCACAACCTCCAGGATCCCTTTTGCTTCGCTTTTCTTCATCCACAAAACTACTTTCTACTGAAATGACTACAGAGTTCTATTAATAAGTAACTTCCTGCGCTTTTTTCTAGCGAAGAGCTTGCTGGCTTCCTAGTTTGCTGGAGTATGAGACCTGGGCAACCCTAAATCCTGCATTGCCTTGCAGTGCCTGGAGATCAAGTCAGGGGACACGCTGCTTCCCCCAAAGCAGAGGATCCAGCCCTCCTGATATGCTGGCAAACTCAGCACTGCCAGGGCCCCCCAAAACTTGGGGTATGGCTTCTTTCCAATCCTGCAGCATGGGTGGGAACGATGGGGAATTCTATCAATTACTGCGTCCTGTCCACTAAATTTCCCAATGAAGAATGCAATTCTGTGCCTGTTTAGACAGAAAGGGCACGGGGAACACTGGGGCCGGAGGACGGTTTCTGTCACAATATGGCACCCGCACTCCCCTTATGGGTGAGCTCACACAGTGGCCATCCCCCCCCCGCCGACTTTTCACAAGGAACCCCTATGACGCCACTGTAGGGTTATTCTTTTTAAGATAACACTGGATGTATATCCCATCTTTTCTGCCTTAGAATGCAGCTGGGACGGCTTTAACATCCTGCTTAAAAGCAGCACCTTACTAAAACATAAGCCAGGGAGATGTGCAGGCTTTTCGCATCTCTTAGGCCTTTCAAGTGCTTAAAGGTGCATCCTCATGCACTTTTTGGTGGAAAATTGTCCTGCAAGTTCGGGCCCAGCCCAGCCAGCTATCCTGGGAGCTCAGACCTTTTCCGGTCGAAATATGCACAGGATTGTGCCATAAATGAAGCTGCATTTCCCATTTCCACAGGGCTTGGTCATCCTTTTTATCAATGGGACCAGGAGTCGAACCCTGGCACTCAAAGTTTGGGCCAGGCATGACGTACACCAACCTCCCCTAACCTGGTGTCCTTCAGAGGTGTTGGCCTACCATTCCCATTATCCCCACCCTCTGCCATAGTCCCTTCGCACGGGGTTCTTCTGCAGGCAAACGGATGCTGCAGGGCTCCCCTTGGGAGGATGTAACAGACTTGCTCAAAACAGCAAATTTGGCAGGTGCTTTTTAAAAATCAGGCGTCTGGTTTGAAAGCAATCGCTCATCCTCGGCCATTTGTGTCCAGTTGATGGCCACCTTCCAGCCCATGTACCTGCTCCATTCCTGCCTTGTTTCCTCCTGGGAGGAGATCTGAGGCAGGTGCATGCTATTTGCATCTATTTGCTAGTCAAATCTTCCTGCCCAAGTTTGGCCCTGGAGACACCTGTCCCTGGGCAGTTCTTAATCTGTGACAGTGTATTATAGTTTTCTCCCAGCTTTTTTTCCTTTCCCAGCAAGGGACTCAAGGTGTTGTATGGAAGCTTCCTCCACCAACACCCCTGTGAGACAGGTGGGGCTCAGAGTCAGTGACTGCCCCAGAGTTACCCAGTGGCCAACAGGGAAAAGAAACAGACTCTCCGGAGTTGCAGCCCTGCTTTCACACTGCCACGCTGCACCGGTTCTGGTTCGGGGTTATTTATTCATTATTGCTTTATGGGAAACGCTTGTATGCTGGCTGTTGTGCCACAGCATCTCTAGGAGGCTCACAATTGGACAATTAAAGCCCTTAAAAACTAAAACAGCCATTGCCCCTAAATCCACTTCATAAACTGCATCAGTTAGGATACAGTTCTCTGCGGCTCAGCCTGCTGCACCCTCGAAGACCCACATGCCTCTCAGCCCCCGCTGGCCAAAGAGCGTGCCCAGATCCTGGTCTCACCAGCCTGACCCAGCTGGAGTTGGCAGCTGCTGCTGTTTCCTGCCCGCGGTTTTCACTCCTGTGCATGAACAGATCTGATAAGGGCGGGCAGCCAGCCAGCCAAGTGCCCGGCCGCTCACTTCCCCCATTCCAACCAGGTGAGCAAGGGCGAGGGCGGAACTGGCTGGCAGCCTGAACCCGAGGCCCGGCCTCGCCCCAAACTCCCTTTCATCGTTCGATGGGTTAATCATTAATCCACGAGCTCTCCTTGCACCCCCATTTCATGATAACATCTCTGATGCAATCAGAAAGGCATGAAGGTGGTGGTGGGAAATTGGACCCTTTTGCCTCAAAAGAGGGATGGAAAAACTCCTGCTGTGTGCGTCATTAAATTAAAAAAGGAAAAAATATGGATTAAAGTTGCCTTTGAGTCACTACAGATATTATTTGACAACCACTCCAGCTTCTGAGTTCTCAGCAGATGCTATCCATCCAGTTGGCAAATATGCTCTCTCCATCAAGGGAGCTAGAAAACAGCTAGAAGGGAGCTTTTTATTTAAACGTCATTTTAATTGTTAATATTATTTGCTTATTTTATCTGGCCAGAGCGACTTATTTTATATTGTTAATTTGTTTTATATTTTGAATGTATTATATTTTAATTTTATGTTGTGAGCCGCCTTGAGGCTTTGGCGAATGGGGCGGCATAGAGATGTTTTAAATAAATAAATAGAAATTTGAAGGGTTTTTACAACGATGCCTGAAATTCTTAGCAAATAAGAATTCCCTAAGTTCCACTGCAAAAGTTGCAAGGGCCACTAAGCACCCTTGGACCAGAAGACCAATGGATATATTTCGGCTTGGCCTTCCTGATGCCGTCAGCATCTGTACTCTGTCTCTTTCATTCTACCCATGACCAACCCAAGAAGTGCATTTAGCATCTGTTTTATAATGTAGCTTCATTTCCTGCCAGTGATGACTGAAGGCCCTCTGCACATGTTCAGGCGCTCTCCTCCTCCCTCAAGCTCATGATGCAAGAGCCGCAGCCCCTCCAGCTCCCACTGGCCTTATCCTCTGGGGACTGGGGAGGGGAGAGACCAGCCCTGTGAAAGCTGGCGCAGGGCCTGGGATGCCCTGTTGTGAGCCGCCCCGAGGCTTCGGCGAATGGGGCAGCATAGAAATGTTTTAAATAAAATAAATAATAAACGCTGGCATGGTCTGACCCGTGTGCCCCCCCCCCTGTTTTCCAGCCCCTCCCCTACTCCATGCCCGTCCCTGGGGGGCTCCGCCCCGGGATGTCCGTCTATGTGCAGGGGATGGTCCCGCATCACACCAAGAGGTAAGGTGCTCCGCGAGAGAAAGCGCTGGTGCTGTCCCGTGCACCTTCTCCCCGAACCGCCCAGATCTTGACTAACGCCCCGAGGGCAGCGGAAACCCCCTGCGTGGAGGCGCTTTCATGCGAACCTTACCTGCCTACCTGGATGCCCCCACCTGTGCGGGCGTCCAGCAGCCACGCCACACCTCTGACTGCCACGAGCCCTTCCTCCTCGTGGTTTCCCTTCGGAGATTTCCACACCTCGCTCCTTCTGTTTTTTCCACCATGTGCCCAGAGTCAAGAGGACTAGAAACCTGCCTTGACCCGCGAGGTTGTGTTCAGGGGAGGAGGCTCCAGCGCACGTGAAGGGGGCCGGGGTGGGCGAGGCCGAAGGTGATCGGTGGGAACAGAGGAGGGGGAAACCTGCGCAAAAGCCGCGCATCTCCGAACCGGGGGGCTTTGCGGGCTGGGCTGGGCTGCTTGGGGCGGCGGGCTTGGGCCCGTGGGATCAGGGAAGGCCTCACCTTTGGGGCTTGGCTCGCAGGTTCCGGGTGAACTTCTCCTGCGGGGGGCACGAAGGGGCGGACATCGCGCTGCACTTCAACCCGCGCTTCGACGGCAAGGACAAGATCGTCCTGAACAGCTTCCGGGGGGGCTCGTGGGGGAAGGAGCAGATCCAGAGCATGCCGCTCCGGAAGGGGCACCCCTTCGAGGTCGTCTTCATCGTCAACAACGACGGCTACCAGGTGTGTGGCTGCACCCCCCCCCCCCGAAGGTGCCAGGCGGGGGGATGTGCCTGGGCCCCCCATCTAATACTGGGCCCCCTTGGGAGTCGAGATGCTGTGGCCATGGGTTAAAGCCATTCAGGGCAAAGAAGTGCATGTATTTCCCCTCCGCATAGGTGAGTTTATTTTTCAGTTGTGTATGTTCTGTGGGAAAGGAAAGACGGGAAAGGAAAGACGAGGTCGCCGCGACGAAGAAGGACAGTGTGCACTTCCCAAAGAACTTTGATTATTGGCCAATGTAGACATGCTGAAAATGAATGTTTGAAAAAACAGGCACGGCTAGGACCCAGGTCCATGTAGCCACAGACTCAACGGGGGTGAGGCATTGTTCTTGGCCTTAGTTTTTCCACCTGTAAAATGGGCATGATTGGCCCTGCTTCCCAGGATTGTTGTAAGGATGATTGAAGTGCGAGCGCTGCCTAGCCTGGCCCTTAGGGATAAAGCTGGCCATACGCATAGTGATCCAGCCGCTTGTCTTTGCAACCCCGGCAGATCCTGGTGGATAGGAACCCCTTTTGCACCTTCGAGCACCGGATCCCTCCTGAGCATGTGCAGGTCTTGAATGCTGATGGAGACCTGGAGCTGCAGTCCCTGAATCTCATGGGAGGGGCCATGATGGGACCTGGGGTGAGTATCCTGACGGGCCAAGAAGGGGGCTTCCCGAAGATGCCACCCCCAGAAGGCATTTTCGGCATTTTCCTCTTTAAACTGGAGTGCTGCACCCAGAGCTGGAGAACCAATGACTCCCGGGCCCAGCAGGCAACGACCACCTGTGTGGCGGAGCAGTGAGGGTGCATCCGGCCACCTGCGCCAGAGCAGCCCCGATTGCACACTAAGCACACCACTCAGAAAGAGAGCACAGAGTTGGCTTAAAGGTGCGATAGCTGCAGAATTAATTCGGGCGTGAATTTACGTGGAAATAGCTGCTCAGTTCACCGTCCAGGTGCAGGTGGCTGTGGGCACTCCCAGGCCTCTAAGACGGCTCTTTATCGTTAAGCTGAACTTGGACCAGACTTCCCTTCAGACAGAGGCCAGTCCTCTATAAAATAGGGCACCCGGCTGCTCTGGCTGGCCTTCCCTGCTGATGTTACCTCTGCTTCTTTTCTTGGCACAGGGGATGCCTCCCCAAGGCTATCCGCCGATGGCAATGCCGGTGAGTAGGTCGAGAAAATAATCCTGAACGGGGCGACAGGGCAGTGCCTGGATTAGCGGGCGATCCCAGGATCCGGATCAGGTTCCATTTCTGCCCCGATCTCAGTCCATATCCCAAGAGCGACTCACGTATTAAGACCTCTCTCTCTCTCTCCTGTAGGGCATGGCGCCCGGTTCTGGATACCCAAATCCAAACCTTCCTGTAAGTACACAGAATAAACAGGCAGGGTGGGAGAACCCGGGAAGGTCCGGATCAGTCCCGCCAGCGGATGAACGGTGCAGGTCCAGGCAGGGAAGCCGGCCTACGGCTCTGGGAGTCGCGGGCCTTTTCCCACCCAAACCTGCCGGTTGCTCTGAGCTGAGACGGCCTTGCATATTTGGTGGCACAGGGTCTCTGCTTGCAGGGTGGATCAAGCGTTTTAGTCCAACCCCAGATGGTGCTGAATCCGGATTCAGTTCCGGCTTTCTTAAACTCGGTCCCGGAAGCAGGAGCGATTCCTACCTTAGAGCCGGCCCTTTCTTAGGGCATGATGCCAGATGGGGGTTACGGCTCTTCAAACCGTCCTGCAAATAGGCAGAATATGTCAGGTGAGGGGCAGGATAGGATCGAAATCGGGGTACATCCCATGGCACCCCTGTCACCTTTCTCAACACCCAGCTCTGCAATACTGAAAGAGACCGGCGAGTGTGCAGGAGGGAAGGTTTGGGCTGCTGTGCACGACCCAGGAGCAGAAAAGGCCATTGCTTTCTGCGAACTTGGTTCGCGCAGGTGCCGAAGGCTCCGTGTCCAGAGGAGGTGCAGGCTTCCTGTTTCGGCTTTTAGCGTGTGGGTGCTCGGAGCCCGCCTCCGCCTCGCCCCAGCCGTTTGGGCTAGTTACATGTCCCCTGTGACTAGCCCCACCTCCCATGGCAGCCATGTTGTGGTGGCACCCATGGCAGGGTTTCCGCCTGTCTCCGTAGCTCCCAGAGATAACACACCCAGACCAAAGAGTGCGAGTCCTACCAATACCAGGGTGTTGGTGCTGAAATGGGCAGAGCTCCCCCAGAGCAGATGGAGGCACCTCTGGGATCAGCGCCGACCTTCCTGGGGCCGTGTGGTCCCCACCTCACAATACATCCTTTCTAGGCCATGACACCAGAATATGGGTACGGAGTGCCAAACCTTCCTGTAAGTATTTGGAATAATCAGTGTCAGTGTGACACCCCCTGCAAAAACCACAACAGCAGCAGACAGGCTAAGGGCACAATCTTATGCCTGTTTAAATTTTAGGAAGCCTTGCAACACTTGCCATTCCCCAGCCAGCCAGAATATATTTAACTCCAAGGCCGAATGCAGGCTGACTCTGGAGCAAGGGCTTGGCTGATAGCTCGCTACTTCTGGAATGGTTTTCATGTATGTTTTTCTCAATAGAGTTCTTGCAGGTTTTTGTGGGGGGTTTGCTCCTTTCCCTGCATGCGTATCATGGCTTAAATTAATGCGGAATGGCCACCAGGGAGAGAAATTGCAAATAATCTGCAAATAAATGAGCAATCAAAAAGCTGCCTTGGAAAACAGCTTCATCGAAGGGGCAAATTCGCAGACTCTGTCTTAGCTCAGCACTGTGGCTGCAGGGTGGCGCACTGATTGACCGCTTCCACTGGTTCTCTGCCTTTCTGCCCAAAATGCCTACAATCATTCAGGCAACGCGGATAAAAATCATAAGCAAATCCGTCGCTCACCATGAAATGCGATTCAAACGATGTAAACGGCAAGAACAGAGTTTTAAAAGCATCCATCTCGAGAGACTCGCTTTCACACCAAAGGTCTATAATCCAAGAAGTCTCAATACACGGGGGGAAAGGCATGAAGTGGCCGGAGGGGGTCTTAGGTCTTGGCGGGTGGAGCTGGTGGAAAGGCCTCCAGAGGCACAGCCACCTGCAATGGCTGCTGGTGGTAAGTTGACGGAGCGCGTTTATTGAAAGCTTTTCGGCACTGCCCTTCCCTGGGTCTGAGAGCCCTTCCCCAGGCGCCGAGGCAGGGCTGGCGCCTGACATCTCTGGCTTTCTTCCCCGCACAGGTGATGTCCGCCCCGACTGCCTACCACCCGGTAAGTGGAGCCAGACTCGCTCGCGCGGTCTCCGCAGCTGCTCGGGGTGCTGACCCTCTCTCCTGCATCCAAGCGTGATGGATCTAACGTCTCTTTTTCAGCAAGTGCCCTACCGGGGGAACCTCGCTGGAGGGCTGGGATCCAAGAGCACTGTTGTCCTGAAAGGGTTTGTGCCACCTAATGGTAAAAGGTAATCACTCCATTTCTACATGAATGTATTTCATGAATTAATTGCCTGCTGGGGTACCTGCAAGACCACAGGGTGGAGGTAGGAGGAGAAAAATTGATTGTGCTCTAACCATTGGGACCACTGTCCCTTCTGCCATAAGGTCCAGGTGATTCTCTGCTCTGTAATCTGGCCGGGATGGCAAATTAGGAGCCAAGGAACCCAAGTTTGAGCCTTAGCCGGTTGAGTCCCTGCACTGTCTCCGGATAGCTTTATTTTTCCAGATGGTTTATAATTTAAAATAACAACAACAATTATATATACACAATTGTAATAAAACCAGCAGTATGAAAAGATTGAATCTGCCAAAAGCACTGTAAACATGGCAAAATAAAGCAGCAAAATTAGTTTAAGAGCAATCAGAGTACAGTCTTGCGCATGTTTCAAGAGAGAGAAAACAGACGATAATTCCGAACGTTTTCCAGCCAGCATATTTAGAACGTCATAGTGAGAACAGGTGGGGCAGATGGACAGTGAACCAAACCTGGTGCATGTTTAGGCATTCAAAGGGTCCCACAACGCCCAGTGCTCTCCTGCCATTTCTCTGTCTAAACATGCTCAGGATGAGGTCCCAAAAAACTTAAGTCCAAGAGAGAAGAAAGGGCTGGATCTCTTCCTTCGGGCAGGGCTGCTGCCACCTGCTTGGGACAGAGCCGGGGGTAAGGTCTCACATGGTGCTGGGACCTCGCCTCCCCAGGCAAGAAATTCCAGAGCCCGGGAGCCGGCTGCACAAGGCCGGCGCATGCATTCCCACCAAAGGGGCACCCGGAGTGGTGCACAAGGGGTGAGACCGTGGCTCGGGACCTCACTGCGGGTGCCCCTTTCTGCCCAGATTCCACATCAACTTCAAAGCCGGCCCCCAGGACATCGCCCTGCACATTAACCCCCGCATGGACGAGCGTGTGGTGGTGCGGAACAGCCTCCTGAACGGCAACTGGGGTCCGGAAGAGCGGGAGCTGTCCTTTAACCCCTTTCAGCCTGGACAGTACTTTGATGTGAGTATTCTCCAAGGCGCTGAGTTCGAGTCCAAGAAGAAGGGGGGCGGGGGGGTAGTGGTCCTGTGTTTGCTGCTGCCCTCCCCTGGAAGGGGTGTGGGCTACCTCTCGGGGAAACTACCCATGTCCTGGTCCTGATGACAGGTGCATCGGAACATGTTTGTGTCAGTGATCATATCCCAGGGTGGGTGTATTCAGTGAACAGCGCATGAAGATTTTTATTCTGGACTCTGAATCCAGTTGCCTGATTGTCTTGAGTTTATTAGAACCAACTTTCCAGTCCTCATGGTTGCAAAGCTACATTTGACAGTGCATGGACAGTGTTTCTAAGAAAATTGGGTAAATTGTGGCCAGGCTGGGGTGCCCTTACCACACTTCAGGTTGCAAAATGTCTTTGGACATCCTTGGTTTGTTCCCCAAATCAAAAGGTCATGCTTTCTTCTGGGTAGGACCTGAGAAGGAAACTGGGGTGCCTTTTCTGCTTATTCTGTGTCTCTTCTGCCATTAGCTAAAGCTCTTCAAGTGGCTGGGAAGGGAAATCAGAAAACCATAGAATACAACAATACAGCTTGACCTACTGAAAAACCCTAAGTTCAAAAGAGAATAAAACCAACGTATACAACCTTTGGAAAATAGCAAGGTCAACCAAATCTGCAGTCCCACACAAGTTTAGATTTTTTTTCAACTCCCTGAGAGCTCTGCCCCCCATGGGTTAAGATGAGGTGGCAGTTCAAGTAATTTCCCTTTAATATCTCCTTCTTGTTTTAGAAAACATTTGCCTCCTTTGACAAAAGGCAGGCAAAGCTTGACCTTCGCACTGGAACCCTGGGTTTTGCGTAACACAAAACCTTTCCCATGCGAATGGTTTGGTCCCATTTAGGAAGGAAGGGCCTCACTAACGGAGTTGGTCTTTGACCGAAATAAAGTTCTTATCCATCTAAGGGCCTCCCTTGTTCCTACCACACCTAGAATGCTCCAGGCAGTGAATTCTTATGAGAGCCAGTGTGGTGCCGTGGTTAAGACCGTGGGACTGGGACTCAGACGATCCGGGTTCGAGTCCCCGCTTGGCCATGGAGCCAACTGGGTGACTTTGGGCCAGTCACAGACTCTCAGCCCAGCCTACCTCACAGGGTTGTTGTTGTGGGGATAAGATGGAGGAGGAGGATGATGTAAGCTGCCTTGAGCCCTTTGTAGGAAAAAGGCAGGATATAAATAAATAAATAAATAAAAATTCAGCACTGTTCTGCCGAGGCCTAGATTCAGATGGTTCAAATGTCTGTCTTCCCCTTTGCTAGGAAGCATTTAGTTTCATGGGAGAGCCTTTGGGAACTAAGAGAATTGCCAGTGGACTACAGTTCCCAGGATTCCCGGGGGCAGGGCGCCACGGCCATGTTCCTGCCATCTAATGCCTGCTCTCCCCCTCCCCTACAGCTCTCCATCCGTTGTGGCAACCACCGGTTCAAAGTTTTTGCCAACGGCCAGCACCTCTTCGACTTCAACCATCGTTTCCACAACTTCCAGCAAATTAACATGCTTGAGATCGATGGGGACGTGAACCTCTCATACATCCAGTATTGAGCCTGGGAGAAACGAGGCGGAGGGGGACATGCTCGCACACACGCCCCCCCGCCGGTGTTGGGATCGGCCCTCGGCATGAGCGTGCGGTGCAGTTCTCATGGGCAGCATCAATAAATGTTTCGTACCAAAGGTGGCAACTGTCTTGCTTCTGTGTACAGATAGGACAAGACCTCTGCTTCTTGGATGCTTTGGAATGCAACTACCATCATCCCCGACTATTGGCCATGCTATAAGGGGCTAAGGGGCGTTGTAGTCTGAAGCATCAGAAGGGCAACATTGGGAATCCTTAGCTGAGTCTTCCAAAGCAAAACTGCCCAGCAGGAGTCCTAAATTCAGGGGCCGTCTGCTCATTTCATCGCTTGGTTTCTCTCTGCCCGTCCCAGTGGCCAGCAGCAGGGGCGGAGGGGGGGCGGTCCACGGATCTGCCAGACACCCCCTGACACACCACGCCATGCTCTGCAGAGCATCACTTTTTCATGCCCAGACTCTACGCCTGCATCACCAGAGCAAAGTCTGCAGGCTTGTCGGACCCCCCGAGTCTGGAGACGGGGGCTAGGGCTTCCCTAGGTGGCTATGCCCCTTCCCCCCAGCTCTCCTGCCTCCTGTGCCCCCCCTGTCCTGAAAAGTTGAGGTGCGCCTGCCAGGTGTAGCAACTGGCTGTGGATCCTCTGGCAAAAACATGCCCCATCTTGTCAGCCATCAGTCCTTCGATCCCCAATTGGGATGCGGTCCCAGAACATCCCTGACCTGGACTTGGCCTGGAAGATGTAACACCGGGTGCCCCGGGACATTCTGCTGCCTGGGCCGGAGGGCTTGAGGAGGGCCCCCACACCTGCCCCAACCCCCCCCCATCTTGTTGCAGCACAGGCAAGGGGGCACTGTTTCCGCCCCACCGGGAGGCAGCAGGGGAGCTTCTGAAGCATGCGGCAGACCAAGGCGACACTTCATCGCATCACGCTACCCAGCACAGCCTCCGTTCTTAGGCACAGCCAGCTCAGCGCCCACCAGCTGATACTGGAAGGTGGGCTTTTTGCCCCAGTTGCTTACACTGAAATGCGTGGCCCTTTGGGTGTCCATCGTCCCAGCTTGGAGAGAGATCGCTTGGAGCCGCTCAGGATGCCCTGTGGCCTTAACCACCCTTAATAGTTTTGTGCCATCCACAAACTTGGCCGCTTCACGGCTCACCCCTAATTCCTGATCATTTAGGATTAAGTTGAAAAGCACTGGTCCCAGTACAGATCCCTGCACTGGTTACATTCCTCCGTGGAGAGAAATTGCCATTTATTACCACCCTCTGCTTTCTATTCTGTATCTAGTTACTGACCTCGCTTTAATCCTATGACTGCTAAGTTTGCTCAGGGGTCTTTGGTGAGGAGCTTTGTCAAAAAACTTTTTGAAAGTCCAAGTCAGCCCTGCCTACCCGAGTTCCCCATCCAGCTATGGACACTCAAAGAACGCTGAAAGGCTGGTAAGTCAGGACTTACTTCTGTGATCCCTGGAACCTATCGTGGTTGATTCTGTAGCTGTTTTAAAGTATTTTAACCACATATGTTAAAATTTTACATTGGGTTTTGATTATTTTGCACGTGTGGGTTGCCGTTTTTGTGAACGTGGTACAGAGTTTGGCTACTGGGCAACACTGGAATGAAATGGACTGAGGACATGGCACAGGTGTGAGTTGAACCAGTGACTTTCCAGTTCACGCACTGAGCTGTTCTGCTCCACCTGCAGTCAAAGCATTCAAAAACAAGGAGTCATCCATTATCTTCAGCCTTGTGATAAAAAAAACCTTCTTGGCTTGAACTGGGTGTTCCATGCGTGGAACTGGTCCACCGGAGCAAACTCTCCTCTCTTTGGCAAGGACCTAATTAATTCTTTGAGTAAGAGCATCGCCACCCCCCTCTAGGTGCTGGGCGTTTGCTGTTGCCCAAGCTTGTGGCGAGGGGAATTTGCGTCTCTCCAGATTGGCTCACACGGGTTGTGGAAGGTTACGCAGGACCGGGCCCTCCTGGAAGCGCTGACCTTTCAGGCACCAGCTGACCCCGCGCGCGGTGACATCAGCCTCATGGGGCTCTTGAGTAAGCGCGGACTCACTGGGCGCGGGTGCTTGTGCCGCTCTGAAAGATGCCCCAGAGGGGAGAGGAGGGCCGGCATCACTTCTTGGCACTGCATCTATAAAAAGAGGTGGTTGGCAATTAGAGAGACTCGTTTTTGCATGTCTCCTGCAGCGCAGGTGCGACCGAGATGGCGATCGAATTTGAGACCTTTGTGAGTACAGAATAGCTTCCCTTTCCTTTTTCCGTCTTGGCCCGTGGAGGCGAGAGGAGAGGGTGTGGGAGGACCTGAGAACGCTGACTCTGGGCTACGCTAGCGTGACTGGCTGGGCTTCACTGGGAACGGCAGCTCACGATGCCTGAAGGACAGCAGGTTTGGAAGGGCCATCCTGAGTGCGTGGAGCGGCAAGGAGGGCCCGTGCCCAGCGGGACCAGGGTGCAAGCCACAGCCCAGGCCCAGGAAGTCAGCAGGCGAGGAGAGGGGAGGAATCAGCAGGAGGCACGCCGGAACAAGGTGCCAAGATCGACACAGAGCCCTCGATGATCGGATATGCCAGGGAGAGACAGGTCTCCGGCCCTCCGGAGGAGCAACTCAGCTTGCTTCCCCAGCCTTGAGGAACTGCACTTTCCCAGCGTCTCTCCCCTACATCCTTCGAAAGACACAGAAGCTCCCCTGTTCCCTGTGCATCAGGGCAGCTGACTGAGGGCCGATGTCTAAGACAGGCCCCTGCTGGCAGCCCCCGCCCAGCAGGACAAGCCTGCAGACAAGAGCCCCCTGGACATGCCCCCCCTTCCCCTTTGCCACCTGCTTCCTCACTTGCCCCTTGCTCTGCCCCAGGTTTTCTGTGCCCACTGTGGCCAGAGGGGAAGGGGCAGGATCTGCAGCCCCGCACGGGAGAAGGGCTCTGGCTTGCAGGAGGCTGACCTGTGGAATGCCGGCCCGCTTGGCTTTCCAGGGACATCCGGCTGGCCACATGGGTGCCCCCGAAGGCCCCAGAATTTTTGGCGACACTTTTGCTTTGCACACGGAAGGTGCCGGATCCAGTTCCGACTCTGGCATCTCTGATCAAAATTCTCAGGCAAGCTGCAACCAGCAGCCCATCTTGGGTTGTACGGACCAGCGGCCTGACAGGCAAGGAGGCGGCTTCGCAGGCAGAAGCAACCCACAGCTTCTTTCACAGCAAACTGGGTGGTTACTCTGGAAGGCGGAAGTTCGAGATTAGCCACCCACCATTCTCTGGATTAAGTGGCATCAATCAATGTGGGTTTTCCCTCCCAGTGTCAAAGCAGCCTACCAGAGTTTTCTTTTTGGGGTTCCCCTCCCTGTGCCCTCATTTTTGGCACCTCTCTTACAAACACTGCACCTGGGCTGCAACCAGAAACCAGTTCTGGAACCAGTCTATTCCTGCTCCCTGCACTGAACAGCGCGGAGGCATTTTCAGCAAGTGGTGCAGCCAGTCCCCACCCACCTTCAGATGGACTTTCCCAGGATGCCGGAGGTGCCAGGCCAAGCAGTGCTTTGCAGTCCATAGTGAAAATCCCGTGCAATTAACATGAATAGCTGCAGAGCACGGCTGCTATGTGAGATCGTACATAGACAGTCGACATTTTAAGTATGCATTGTGTGCTTGCTTTAAATGGTTAAAAAATAGTAATGCTAGATGTTCTTGTAGACAGTTAGGTCTCCCTGTTTAAAGCTCCTAAATCTCATCCTTCCCCAAGTTGACACCCTCTAGACACTTGGATGACAACATTGCTGGGGGATTATGGGAAAAAGTCCCAGAATGCTCAGTGTGTTCCAGTCAGCTATTGCAGGTCTGGGGTCAGGTGTATGAGGGGCATCTTCTGATGCATGTTTAGGCAGAAGACAAAAGGCTATGGCGGCTGGGACATCCTGGGAGAAGCAGGGCTCTGTCCTACCTAACTGGATGCGGCACGGCACCCTTCGTAGAGCTGGCTATAGGTCCACTTTGAAGAGGTTTGAAATGTCTGACATCTCAGTCACACCACTGGTTTAAAATGGCTCAGTAGCCACTTTGGACTGTGAGGAGATCAAACCAGTCAGTCTTAGAGGAGGTCAGTCCTGACTGCCCTTTAGAAGGCCAGCTTCTGGAGATGAAACTCAAATACTTTGGCCACCTAATGAGAAGGAAGAACTCCCCGGAGAAGACCCTGATGCTGGGAACGATTGATGGCAAGAGGAGAAGGGGGCGGCAGAGGATGAGGTGGCTGGATGGGGTCACTGGGGTGGTGGGTGGGCTCCGGGGGATGGTGGAGGCCAGGAGAGCCTGGAGGAATGCTGTCCATGGGGACGTGTGGTGGGTTGGGCACAATTTTGCGAGGAACAACAAGCCCCCGCACATGTACCTGGGACTGGGGGTTGTTAAGAGACAGTCCCCTGCCCTATCCACCTTTCAGAAACCCCCGCCCCAAAATACAGGCCCCAGGCTTCTTGGTGAAAGGGAGGAAGAGCCATGAGAAGTTCACTGGGTACATAACCTTTTGTCGCAATCTCTAGCTTGAGGCCGGACGCTCAATTTAAGTGCAAGGTGGCAATAGAGGGAAATGCTTTCTGGCTGACGTCCTTAACCACTGTGTCACGCTACCCTGTAGAAACCATCCTCTCCCACGGGAGGCTGCTGTGAAACAGCCAGTGCCAATGCAGGCAGCCCTGCAGGCGAGACGGTGCTGTGCTCAATCACGCAAAGGACCTCTTTCTCCTCGTGTCGCGGGGACCATTCCTCCGTTTCCTTCCCTTCTAATTTTAGAAAGGAGGAACTGAGGTGGACTTAGGGTTTCTCAACTATTCACTGGAATTTTTGAAAGCAAAACAAACCCAGTGCACCTCTCACCGGAACGGATCTCATCAGCCTGATTGGTAACATCGGAGGCATTCCTCGGAATAATGCGCCTTCTAAGATTGCGACAGCACACGATTTGGGGAGGGGGAGGGAAGGATGTGCCAGTCCCGTCTTGCAGGGAAGGTTTTT